CATGAACATTACTTGGTAACTTTTTAGGTTTTCACGGCGTCGAATAAAAATAAATTTCATCTGGACCCTGATGATGGAGGCAGCACACGTCACTGAAACATTGATAAATAAGACTACACGGCACAGTTTGCCAGAAGACAGTCATCTTCGTAAATAGTTATATCAGCGTTTATTTTATACCAACTTCCTTATAACCCCTTAAGCCGTAACTCTTCTACACAACTTAACATACGAATTTTAAATTATGAATTTGTTTGTTCGCTTTTAACTCGGGAACGGACATATACATATTTGCACCAAACTTGGCATGAGTATTTATTGAGACCGGGAAGAGATCATATGTGGGTCAGAACTGGGAAAAGTGTCCTGAGTTCGATTCCCACTAAGGGAGTTTCCCGTAGCTCGGAATCTAACCGCGATAAAAGATTTGCTCCTAGACCATAGTGTTGATGTGTTATGTATTAACGCTGAATTGTTACGAAACTTTGATGTTATATCTGACAAATTTAAGATACTTAATCCGAATGTGAACTAACGGACGTTGTACACCGAAATATATTAAATGTATAATTATTATTTTTTTAGTTTTTGGTAAGCTCACATTACACAGAGTTCTCCCCAAAAAGATGTATACACTTTATAATACGGAATATTTCCCTTGTCAGTCAGTTGCTCACTGCTTCTCAACTGTGCCACGAAGCTAACGGTAGTCATTTTGAACACCTACACTAGATTCGATAATTCACTGAGTGCCAATTCTGATGTATGTACTTGTTTCGTTTATTATATTTTATTTATTTTATTCATTGAATGTGTGTGTACATTTTCTTTACCACTCTGCATATTGACATTTTTGAACGAAGTTACTATGTTACGTTCTTTGCTGAACATGCTGTTTAAATTATGCCATGAACGATGGGTTGAATGTCAGTGGTAATTTTCAGATATCTCTATAGTGACATGAAATTTGAACAGTAGCAGTGAGACACGGTACTTTGTCTTCAGGTTAAAGAAAGGAGTACCAACTGTATGTGACCCTTTAGATAAAGTCCGTGGGATAACGATAAGCAGCTTATTGTTACAAGGTACATTTGACTAGCTTCTGGATTATCTAAAACAAAATAGGTGGACCACCTGTAGTACTGGGGCTTTGGTTTAGTTTTGAAACCCATACAGCTGCAGTCCCAGGGCGTGGTGGCGTTACGTTGGTACCTTTGTGCCAAAAGACATTTCCAAACCAACATTAAAGCCATCTAGAATTAACAGCGTTGATACAATGGTTTTAACTCATAAAGGCTACAACACAATATTATCGCAACCCGTAGTTCATGTTTAATTCATACTGCTGTTCAAATGTGACGTCACATTGATATTTTTTTATTTGTTTTTAACACGTAAACAGTTAGTATTATCGGGCAGATCTAACAAGGCTCGAAGAATGTACAGTGGTATTGTGGGAAGAGTTTCCAAGTACTTTCTTTGTTAATTTGCTTTTATCGTGGTTGGTGGTAGTCATTTATTGAAGGTGATAGTGTACTGTAGTGTTTAAAAGTTTAGAAACAAGATCGTTAAAGTGTGAAGCGTTCAGCAGAAGGATTTATAAATTGCATGGTATGATGCTGTGTGTTTGTTGTGCTACTTGGTCAGGGCTATTACGAGCAATGCTGGGATGATGGTTGGCTTCTGAAAGCCGAAATACACTTGGAAGAATCGGTTCTAGTGACACTTCGTCCACCACGAATCTCAACTGAAATCAGACGGATCTGAAATATGTGGACTTATAAAATTACAAATAAATTATAACAGTAGTGCGTTGTCAGCATATATATAGAGTAAATTATCAATTAATACTACGGGTTCACTATTATATGTTGGTATTACAAATATAAAAGTAATTTCAACTCAGTCCAAACTTAATCAGTCCTCTGTTTCGTATATTTTTTTATGTGTTTCGATTTTCTGATAGAAGAAAACAGATTCAAATTAATGTTTTAGATGTAACTACAACGAGTACTGTTTTTATAGAAACTTTATAGTATCTGACGTAATTAAGTAATTACCCAAGTTTAATATAATTTGAAGGTTCGCATTTGGACTCTGTTCTCAGAGAGTTTAATCTGATCCCTATTCCACGTCAAATATCTTGAGGTGTTTTCATTTCTACAACGAGAAACGTTTCATTTTCCCTGAGATTCACTTGTTTATGGCACAGTGTGGCTGCTATGCAGAGTAGCGTATAAGAGGGCAGACATTGGCTCTGTCGTGACGTCATTACGTGGGTCAACTTCGTAATGAAGCCTGTACAAACGCAGGAAAGCAACAGTGGAACTTGGGAATTGTATTACAAACCAATTTCCTCGGCTGCTGATTACAAGGAGTCTTGAAAGAGGATAGAGAATTACCGCACTTTTAATTGCGGGACAACTTCTTAACTGTCCTGTGATAAGATTTAGACGCTGTTACGCAAATTCAGGTCGCTGTTCGAATACCGTTCGGGCCATGCTTGAAGTGAAATTATAATGATGAAGTAATGTCCGTCTATCCATACATTTGTTTCATATCCGGAATCAGTGGATTTATATTTAAAATTATCTATTATCAGGACTTTTTCCATCGTCTGTTCTTTAAATCCACGACGTTTCGGAGGCTGGTTCTGTCTCCGTCTTCAGGTGAGAGCCAGTCTCTGTCACTGGACCAGTCCAGTGACAGAGACTAGTTCTGTCTAAGGGACCCAACAGAGTAGGTACCTCTCACCTGAAGACGGAGACAGAACCAGCCTCCGAAACATAGTGGTTTTAAAGAACAGACGATGGAAAAAGTCCTGACAATGAATAATTTTAAGTGTAAATTACCGTCGTCAAAACCCTTTAGAATTGAATCAGTGAATTTATGTTAAATTTGATATTGAATAATCTATATGAAAGTTTATCGGGCTGAATTTAATACTTGTTTGTCCCGGTCCATTGTAACCCCCAAATTTTCATGGAGCCTCTTTTGTGCTTTGCCATTTTTTAATACTACAGGGAGCTGGTACATGGTATAAGTTAAAAGTGAAATTTCGAGAACTCTTTAAACACTGCTTGAATAAGTAATTAACTCTGCACGTTGCTTACAGAGTGTATTTATGCATTTCGTACGAATCTTATATTAAACAGTGATTATTTACTTAAAAGAACATTAATTAGTTGATCTTAGTAATGGTGAAGTGTTGTTTTCTTTGCGGTACGGACTGAATTCTTAAATAATATTTAGATTAGCTTCGGCTTGAAACGTCCGACAGTGGGAAGTTCTGTTTAATTAAATATCTGAGGAATAATAAAGCGAGTCTCATCACGCTGAACATGTCTTTGATCTTTATTACGTCTGTGGAAAAAAAAATATATTTAGGACAGTACGCAGTGGGGGCTGTGTACTATTGTTTAACTTTAGAAGAATTGATTTGTGTCTGCACTAAACGGCAAGGTATAGAGGAACGGACAGAAATTATACGAGCTTTAGTCTCGAGAACACCCTTTTGCCTTTGTGAATTTTAAAATGCATTGTGATCTTAGATGCTGATCCCTCATGAAGAGAGTCATGCTGTGCTTTGAAAATGTTCATTGTCTCATATTTAATTTTATGAGCGAAAGGACTAGAGTTTATAACCCGCGCAAAATAAATTTATCGAATTCTTCGGATGCTTTTTCGAGCACATTTTCTTAACCTTTGGCTGTGTCGTAATGTGTTTAATATTCCTGTGTGTTTCTTATACAAGTCTTGCTTCATCTGCAAGGCTCGTGACTGCTGTAGATTGTTATCTGTTCGCGGTTTACTATGAGCCAACTGCGAAGGTTATGTAAGCTAAAGTAAAAAATAATGTGATTATGAATGGTGATTTGCAAATGAAGTGACAGAGAATAGTAGAAGTGGCCTTGCGTCTAGCTGGAAGTAGCAAGGAAAACCTCGAAAATCTTTAGTAAAATAATATCTCTTTCAGCCAAGTTTGGTTCTGGGTTCTTTCAAGTATCAGTTATCGAACCTAAATATTCAAGAACCAATTCATTAAAAGAGTTTAAAAAGGGTTATTAACCCGCGTTTCGTGAGTCGCATACTGCCCGCGTATATTTATTGTCGGCCCATATATATTTCCCTAATGTTACCACGCTGTGTACAATGGACAAAAATGTTTTCGGCTAAATACAGTATTTTATTTTAAGCGAATAATTAATAAAAATAGCGAATAAAATGTGTTAAAGAATATTAATGAGTACGCGTGTGAACAGGTAGTAGCCTAAGTTGGTAGCATTTTTAAATTATCACGACGTTGCGATAAATTGTTGTTATTTATATCTTGGCAGCCGGCGAGGGAATGTAGCCCACATGCCCGAAAAGTTGACAATCCTGCAGTGGAATGCACGCAGACTTCAGGAACAAACATTTAATATGGCGTCGTATAATAACTCAGGAATCAGTATTATAAAAGACGATCTTGTAACCAAATTTGAATATACTTAACGTCTACACGTATTACGTCCAAAACCGCTTATTATCCGGAATTACAATTACCATTTGTGGACATCCCTTTTTAGACCGACAAGAAAACTCTCCGTTCATTACGTCATAAATACTAACTTAATATAAAAAATCATTAACCTTTGCTGGAATGGTTAGGGGGGAAACGAGTGGAATATATTGGAAATGAAAAGTGATTATCTCTATAAACGACATTAACCAGTTTGTCTTTGTAATGGTGAAGCTTTGTATTTACTTGATTTTTTTAAGTATTGTATAGACGATGTTTCAGAAGGACATCAGAATGAGGTGCGGGTAGGTCCTGGAGACCATCGTAAGCTAGAAATTTCTTATTTCCTCTCCCTTCACTTTCTCTCCTCTTTCTAATTTCTATCTGTATTTCCAGAAGGACGAACGAACACTGCTTGGGTACCTGCATAACAAAAGAACTTATCTCTGTATGTCTGTTTGCCCCAGGGAGCCTCATATACTGTTTCTGCTTGTTGCAGGATGTAGCAGACATTCGTTTGCAAGCTGGACTGAGTGTGTAGAGGCCTGACTGATGTACTGCAAACACGTTTTACGGTTCAGGTCGCCCTAATCTCACGGCCTTCTTCTGCATGATACGCTGGTAGCTAGTCGTCCCGCAACACACATGGGTGAGCCTGCCCAGTCTCGTTTAGAATGGATTTAAGGATTTCCGTTCAGCGTCATCGCTTTGCGTTACCTTAGAACAGAGGTTGACAAAGTATGGCCCGCGAAACATATATAAACCTAAAATTTGAACTTTTCACCCCGGTGATTACGTCGATTCTGATATTTTGGGTTGCGTGTCGTGTAATATTGTGTTTCAAAGTGTTTCGGAGGAACGTAATGCCTCCATCTTCAGGGAATTTAACCCTGAAGCTGGAAGCGATACTTTCCTTAGGGACGGTGATGTTGAGGTAAGGTTTTATTAATTTTATTTTCCTTTTATTTATTCTTTTGCACGTAATATTATGATAACTGTTAAGTTATCAGGTCTGCGAAGAATTTGACACATGCATTCCTTCAAATTCTTCATGCCCTATTAAGAAATTTATATTCGATTACATTAAACCATGAGAGACAGCTAACACTATTGTTTACGTATTTAATACCCGACATGTTTCGGTAAGATGCCTTCTTCACAGGCAACATCGATAAATTTTTGTCTTGTTTACTTATAAAAAATTCACTGCCGTAAGCAAATTACAAAATGTATGATCTGCGCAATTTCAGTCTCGTCTGTAAAATTGTTTACGGAAAGCATCAAGGCTTGGGACAGCTTGGGAGAAGTAGGCGTAGATGGTAAAATAATATTAAAGTTGGTGTTATAAAAATTTAGTGTAATTAGTGTGGATTGAATTGATTTGGCTTCGGATAAGTTTCTGTAATGGGCTGTTATGATGACAGTAATAAATCTCAGAAGTCATAAAAGGATAGGCATTGTTTACATAGAACAACTACGAACTTTAAAGAAAGGCTCTTGGCCATGGAATTAATTAACATCAGATTATCAACTCAGTTTTGATATGTCTTGATTCATTGTCCATAAAGGCAATATTTTTTATTTAGTAATCTTAATATAAAACGTCTGTAGTATTTTTTATTTTTCTTTATAAAAACAGTTTCCGGGTATAGCAATAAAACTCGCTTTGTCAGCTGTTTAAGAATATCACTTTCCGGAAGAGGGGATTTTTATCCACGTCTGAATTTTATTAACGATGTATGTTGTGCTTACTTGTTTCTTTGTGTGATTACAAAAATTGCCAACTGGCAGTTAAACGGCTGACGTAAACATTGATGATCCCCAACGCAGGTGGAGTTGATGCCCGAGGACTAAGGACCACGAGTTGCATCAGAAGATTCGAAGGGATATGTCGACTACCACCAGCTTCTCAACTACGTGGTACGGAAATGTTGTCACCAAGGAGCTGTCATTTCGAGAACCCTTCCAGCGGCAGTGGTGGTTGCTGGGAAAAATGAATCTCGCCGACAAATGTTACGATGTGGTCAGATTACTATTTCTACCAGATACAAATTTGAAACAGATTCCCGTTCATCTGTAACTGACACGGGTATGATATTTTTTGGACAGTAGAAAGCAAATAATATAATTTTGGGACACGTGAAACGTCTTTCCACATGATAAACCGCTTCTGCTACCTTCGTCGAGATTAAATTCTTCAATTGGAGCAATTAAATTGCCGCCTGAGGCTGTGAAAATGAATTTAATACGCTGCTGAGATCCGAATGCTTGACAAATCTTGACAAATGTACTAGACGTGTTGGCAGTAGTGCTCATGAATTGAAATATGGTTTATTAAAACATTTGTTTAATTTCCCAGTGTAAATGGGCAACTGGTTCGTTTTATGATTCCTCAACTTTGATGGTGTTGACGTCCGGATCAGAATCAGGGTATATTACGAATTATTTTTAACAACCTTGGATTATACGTCGTATGAATTAAGAAGGGTTTTAGTGGATTTTAAAGGACGTTAATGAAATATGGTTTGTGCAAGTCTACAAAAGTGTACAAAGCTGAATTAAAAGTGACAGTTACATTTTATTAAATGGTACTTTTCAGGAAAAATGTCATAAAATAATCAGAATATTCTTAAGTGCAACGGGAAGGGTTTTTGTTCGCTGCTGAATGATACGTCTTTTAACCGCGTGTGAGACTAAACGATGTGGCGGTTCGCGTAGGTAGAACGTGGCAAGTTACGACCGGACAGAGTGGTGCCAGGGGGTGGAGGCATGGGTTGCACCCCAAGCTTCCTCCATCATCACCACCACTACCACCACCAAACCACTACCACCAGCAGCAACAGTAACCATCGCAATGGATCAGCCGAAGACACGGAAGTCGCTCCCGCTGACAGCACAAGTAACAGCACCCACATGACTTCAGGTAACTGTCAGCTCCATTGGTAACTATATGTACCACCTGCTTTAACATTCAGTAAATCTGTATTTGACCTACATAGTGTATTCATAACAGCGATTATTTCCTTAAACAGCGCTAACCACTTGATCTTTGTAATGGTGAAGTGTTGTATTTTCTTTGCGGTACGGGCTGAATTCTTATATATATTATATAGATGAACATCAAAATTTACCCCCTTAAACTCGTAAAAATTTACGATGCCGATGCCGCTTAATTACGTACTAAATTTCCAAATTATAGCTTCAGCATTCTCTAATAAGCAATTCAAAATGTTCGTCGTCTCTGCCAGCAAACTGTCACTAATTATCGCACTAACGTCTTCACTCTTACTTTATCCTTACCGGAAGGACGAACGGGATTTGCCTGGGAACCTTCTAACTATAAGATCCTCTTTCTCTCACTTCTCCCCCGTCAATTTTCTCTTTGAAAATTCTACTCTTCTGCTGTACCTCTTATCTATCTCTCTCTCTCTTTTATCGGGCTGCCTTACCAGAAGGACGAGTGGGCACTGCCTGGGTATCTTCGTAGACGTAAATGTATTTTCCCTCCTGCTACATGTAATATGTATCACTTTCTCTTCTCATTCATCATTCGGGATTTAGAGGGCTGGTAATGAATGTTTTTCCTCAGACCTGGCGGTAATGGATATATAATATTAATTCAGAATGATTCTACCATTAGTATCGAAAAATTATAACTTTGTTGGGAAAGTGTACAAAATAAATTAATAAATTGTAGTTCTCTGTGGTGAGGAAAATGTTAATGCATCTAAGAATACTTGAGCTAAGATGGAGGTATTCTTTTATTAAAATTGATATTAAAGAAATATGATCGGAGACATGGATATACTTCACTTCCTTAACGACTCTTAGCGTCTCAGAAATAATTCTGTGGCGCGTAGTTAGGTAATTAATTATTTTTTTTTATCAGATGTTCGTTCACCTATATCAAGTTCAGCGAATATGTCGATCACTGACAGTATGCGTCCGTAATAATCGCCTAGGATGATCACTCGTGCAACATTGCTATTCATACAGAATTCTATTGTAATAGGATCAATCTCTGACTTCTAAACGCTATAAATAACTTTTTATGATTCTTTTTAATTCAATGGATTAATGGCTTTCGGACGTTATCTCATACGCACTGTGAAATACTGCATAGAAATTTCATTATCCCAGAAGAATAGCTTACCGTAAATCATTCACAATCCGACGGCAAAATTTTCGGATTGATTTCTGAACACACCGGTTTAGGAAATTCAACATTAGTTCGATAACTGGTGTACAGAAAGTTGATTCCATTGCTAAATTTAGCGTTGTAAAAGGGACAAGTTTCACTAACAAGAAATGCAGGAGATATCATCTACTTAACTTCATGGAATATACTTAGTCTTTCATGGAACCAAAAGGTTTATTATCCTGTTAACAGGAATCCACCACTGGTTACGTGCCCTGAGCCAGACGAATCCAATAGATACCCAATCGTTAAAATACCTGAGAATCATGCCCTGAACACATTTTCTTTTCGTAAAACCGAAGAGTTGAAGGTAAATTGGTCCGCTGTGTGTTAAAACACAGAAGTACCGAAGTACTGCTGTTAACCGGTAACAAATCTTATGCTTAATCACGAACTTACGTTCTTGTGAAACATGAGATGGCATCTACATGTGAGCGTTGGCCGCTAAACATTCTAATTTACACAAATTAATACATCAGCACTGACGTGCAGCAAATACGTAAACATCCAGCTCTCACATGGGATGGGCGGGGCATGTAGCACGCGCACGTGAGCCATGAGCATAAACAATTTTGGTTGGAGATCCTGAAGACTTGTACATACGTAGATAGAATAATTTTAAATTGGTTCGTAGGTGAATAGGATGGATGGGTACGGATTGGATTCATCCGGCCTGGTTTAGGGACCGGTGGGGGTTCTTGTGAACACGGTTATGAACATTTTTAACTGAGAGTACAAGAGTTTTAAGTAATGGCTTTGATGAGTTAAGTGGTAATATACCATTGAACAACTGCGGTCAGCCTGCCTTCTACTTAAAAAAATAATGTAGGTGTGGTAATGTTCTTCTGGGTTTTGACGCCGTGTGGACTTCAGGACTCAAGCTGGAAACACCATATTCTCCCAAACGTTGGTGTCTACTGGCGCCAAACCCCAGAATACCACCAACCACCAACCACCATCATTCTCACCGCTGTGAGAACCTCAGGTTTCATGAAGGAGTTGAAACCACACATGAAAGCGAAGCTTTTGGCAGTCGGCATCATTTAATTTGAGGTCTATTTGAAGAAGTGTCAGGAGTAAGCGAGGGTGACATGCTCTGCGCATGCCCAGCTCCTGCAGAATAACCTTCTGGTGTACGTATATCAATGGAGCGAACACCGCAACTCAGAATAGGTTTTTAAACGGTGAATACCCGATTTACTGTCCCGTTGTACAAACGACACCCTAACTAGCGAAACCAAAATCACTGTTATGCAACGTGCGACCTTGTTTCTCCACAGACTAAGGCGCTGTCACAGGCTGGACAAACACTGATATTTGTCGGTATATAGCAGAGACTGTTCTGTAGTTACCAAGCAGGTTAGTTTAGCGGTTACACTCTAGACTCCATGGAGTGTGTTGGCATGTTAACCCGTTTGCTTACGTAATGCCCCGGTAAAGGACCTAAAAAAAAAATTAATATGGATTCCAGTCCACAGTGTTTCGTCATTCCTACTGAAATATCATGGGACTGATTTTTATGGTCTGTGACTTGTCGCTTAGCAGCCCTTAATGTGATAGATGACTATTGATCGTGTTCAGGTCAAGACGGCACCTTACAGATCTCGGCTATCTCAGTGGATAAAAATAGGTAGCTAAAAATGATAGCTGATCTTTTTTCTATCTTGACAAATATTGATAGACACGGATGGATTTCAAGTTATACGAATTTGTGCTGATGGGAAGTTTTTGCTACTCGTGTGTTCAGGATATTCAAGCACATAGTCACGAGATTAAAAGTCTTTGACATTAAGGATAAACATTTTGAGGCTTCTATACACAATCATATAACTACTACGGAATGAATGTTCCGTGAAGACACCGTTTTAAACTCAATACAGCGGAATCTTTATTTAAAAACTGATTTTGTTCAACTTGTACCTGGAAGATCTTTGCAGTGTTCACAGTAGCTTCCTATTGGACCACACGCAGAATCATCTGAATCAGTTGCACTCACACATTATTTCTATAAGATTCATTTTAATATTATTATTTTACATTCGCTCAAGTCTCTCAAGTGGTCATTTTAATTTTTCTGAGTAAAGTTTCTGCGTGCGTTTAACATCTGCGCCATACGTGTTACATGTCTTGGTTATAGAATCCTCTTGATTTGATAACCATAATAATATTATTTTGTTCACAGTTTGTAAATGGCGGCTGAAAGTGACTCGGATAACATTGCAAGCTGATGTTATAGCCTACGATAATAGACCTGTTGGTTTCGATAAAAGATGCATCTCTTTCGTCGTGGAACTTTAAATGTTGTTTGGTTGTATTATTAGCAGATTTTTAAAATAAATGTTATGGCGCATTATGTAGACTCGCATGTCATAATTCCATTAGGAAAATGCTGTGAGCGAGGAACTGACACTGGCTATATGGATCATGAAAACGAATCAGGGAAAACAAAATTTCAGAATAAAAACAAATAATGCGAGAAGCAGAGAATAAATGGGTTAAAAGACTGGCGGACAAAGTTACACTGATTATGTTGGTGGCAGAAAGAAATATGTTCCTGGCGACAGGCTATCCTGACTGAAGTTTATGTGGTTTTCTTCAGTCACCTCAGGATGAATAAATCAGGAAGATGACAACAGCGAAAAGACAGTCTCAGCGGTTCGGCGTCATTAAGAAATTCTGACCTAGTCTACGCTTGCTTTGATTAAGTTATTATAGATATATTATCATTAATTTTATGATAATTTTACGTATAAAACTGAAAATTGAAAATCAATTAAATTTCACATAACGTTACTAAAAGCAAACCCAAAATTTTCTCGACGGTTATGTTAGAGGAACTGTGGCTACAAACCCAAAAACTCGTGGGTTCGAATCCCGGTGAATATGTTGAACGTAAGAATAATAATTTTTCCTGGGATAGTCAACGATACTTACAGGAATTTGTCGAATTTCGCTGCAGGAAGACTGCGGGCACTCTGTTAAGTATGTATCTTAAGTAACACTTTATGCAACGCAGCACCGTTACAAAGATCAACTGGTTAATGTTGTTTAGGGAAGTAATCGCTGTTTAATCTGAGAAAAATGCGAAATCCTTCCTGTGGGCGAAATGCGAAGTTATTTAATATTAAAGTAGGTGGTATATGTGGTTACCACTTAACTTTATCGATCATGATATAAAGTATAAATTTCATATAGACGTGGAACATTTAATACATTTTTGCATTATGGTGAATACTTAACGGAAAATAAGAATAACTATGAATTTTTTCGTATGTAACAATATTTATTTCTGAATGTTCATGACATAGGTTTATGACAATATGTTTTAAATATTTTGACGTTTTCAATAAGTCTTCCTATAGCCAATGTGAAATAACAACCTTTTCGAAACTGTGTTCCTGTCGTCAGGAGCGTCTGTATGTGTGAGTTTGTGCGGAATCGAACCAGAATTGTCCATTAGTGAGGTGTGTTCTCATAACTGGTCTAATCCAATATCTAATCCAGCGGGAACTTCGATATCTCCCGTATTGAGCAGTGGACTTCCGCTACTTGTGAACTGGGTTTGAGGAAAGTTTGCATTGGGCATTTTGATGCTACGTTATAACGAAACGTTATTTCAGGTTCACACGTCTTCTTGGATGTTGCGTCGCGTAGTATGATAGATATTGATCAACGTTTCGGAGGTGCTTTTTGCTTTCATCGTCAGGGCGCAGATCATTATTTAC